GTATTTTCGTGAATGCTTATCGTGTATGTTTTTGTAGGAAATTTTCTAACTTTACAAATCCCTCTCTAGGCGGATTTACTTGCGTTTTGCAGCCGTTGGATGTCGCTATTAACAAGCCATTCAAAGATCGAATCCGGAATACGTACATGCTTTGGGCTGCCCGAAATATGCTTGGAAAGGAAAAGGTGAAATCGCCAGATCGAAAACTCATCTTGGAGTGGATCCAGGCGTCGTGGGATGCCATCACACCTGATATGGTTAAGAATGCATTCCGCGCTTGTGGGATGCAATAACGTTAGTAGTAATACATACAATGCAAGTCAATGTTGTTGAACTATTATGATCTATTGTACTCTTCAACATGTTCCATTAGCACTGCCTTGACAATACCATGGCATCTATCTGAGCGATTACGCTTAGACACGCTTAATGCGACTCTGTAGTCTTCCACAACAACGGCCAGCTTGTTCGCGAACTTGGTTTTGCAGGTAAGCAGTCGACGGGGGAGGAATCCAATGTGGCAAAGCTGCTCCACTCCAACAATCTTGTACACCTTGATTGCTTCTTGGAGTTGGTCACCGTGCCCCCACACCACCTCACAACGAAAAACAACCACGTCGTCTACTGACAAGCTATTGCCGCAGACTTCGTGCGACGTACAGCTTCGAGTTCCCTCACCATTTGCGCAGCCAACAATGTCCACGGCCTTCAAATCCATCCACTTTCAGGTGTTGAATTCTGCAGCACTACGTCTTGACTGGTTGAATATTACCCAATCATTGATTATTGGTTACAGCTTTATGGGAACACCCAATTTGCTTCGTTCACACTGGCTATATATTTGTCTTGAGTTTAGCATTGATTATTCAACGTGGTTACAGTTCTTCAGGACGAAATGTTTTTTACAGATGTGCGGGAAATACGGTAGTCCTAAATACCGAAACCACATGTACTACGTAGTATTATGAAATGTGGTGCCCCATTACTCAAAGCAAGTATACTAGAGTTTTTCTGTGCAACAAAACAACGAACAGCCTCCTAGGTTGTTATGCAGTGCTCGAATTTGCTCCGACAGCCATGTCGTCCTGTATGTAGAGTTAACTGCTTTGGAAGCATTCGCATGGCTAATGGACAACGCTCGTGATGTCGTGATATGACTTGGTGCTGGTACAGTGCTTTGCAGTCAAATCGGGTCAGTGCAACTATTGGCTTGTTGTTGGATTTTGTATGTATAATGGTATACTGGAGATTCGGTATGAATTTCCGGACCCTGTTCAATCGAATCTCGCCGAGCGAATCGAGCACCAATCTCTCCCATTGGTCAATGCGAAATTGCTTGTCGCTGATTGGCTACAATCCATTTTCGAGTTTCTACTGGAAAGGGCGAAGTGTATAATGGCCAATCAGATGTCTCGACTCTATTTGTGCTCGATTGAACGAACCATGCAAAATTGGGAAATTTGAAGAAAATCGACAATACAGTACCACACACATATATTATAATTCAACTCGTGGTTGTTCAAGTTTGTTGGGTGCAATAAATGTTATATCTGATTGGCTGAAACAATTTAGTTTTAAACCAGTCAATTCCCAGTCAATTCCGTCGTGCGGTTACAGCCCAAAATGTCAGCACAAAAGTACCAATTTCAACTTTCCACAGTTATACCATAGTACCACATGTTCCGCATAAGCATTGTCCAAGACATTTATTTGAACCCTGCTTCGTGCTTCGATCTAAGTTGTGGACTAGTCGTTTGTCCAGATATGACAAGGAAGGACAACGAGCAGCTTTTTATTGCTGTGTGCATGCATGGTAAATCACTGATATTTTACTTTACTGTACCACTTTTTACTGGAAAACCCTACCAGGTCCTACCATCCGTATAATTCAGCAGTAATTCGTATCCGCAGAAATACTTCGTGAAAATTAACGTTAATTGAGACATAGTTTCGTACAGTAGTCCACCCACAGTTTACAGTCAACGAGCGCCGAGTAATGCACCCCTGTCCTTACGGTACTAATTAGGGCATCCCCTAAGGGCAAAACTTTATCCACTTTTGACACTGATTTGACGGGCTGTAAATCATGATGGCATCGTTTGCAGTACTGTAGTGCACTGTACAAACACTGCACTCACAGATTTAATTGCACAGACCTTAGACTACCATTAAGTTTTATTACGTAGCTCGAAAATGGGTTGCAAAAGTTTAATCTCATTGACAGTGAAGTTCTTGCATGACAACTTGTTGTGGTTGGTGGCAGTCAGCCATGCCCCGCCATGACACACAGGGACTCTCGATGAGGTCCCTTGGCGCCAATCTAGTGAACCGACGCGTTAGATACACTCTAGTATTACTAGTAGTAGTATTAGGAGCTAGTGGAAGTGTCGGTTGGGAATGGTCACCATGGTTAGCCAATCAGTGGCCACCTGGGCCCACCTACCACTTCTACAGAAGCTCACTCCTAGTTTTGCTCTGCAACGGACATAACAATCAAGTGCGTGGCTCACGGGAGGCGGCGTTCCCCATTTGGTTATTTGTGTAGGCGCAGTGCGGGAAACAACACAAAGTCAACTTTAGTTCCAGTTACCTACAACTGCGAGACTAAGAGCAATGACGAGAAGCCGGAGCACGTCCCCGAAAGACAAGCGAACGGCACCCAAAGGCAGACGCTCCGAACGTTTGAAGCCGAACACGGTGACCGAACAGGAAGCGGCAGAAACAGATGAAGAGGTACCGACAGCGGAGCTGGCGATGGTCCCAACCAGTGGGACCTCGACCATGCAGCTGGTCGAAGACGAAACAAGGAAGAACAACAATCACCCAAGTCCAGCGATCGATCTGCGTCACATTCGATGCCCAAATCATTAGAAGGCGACTACATCGAGTTGGACAACTACGATGATGAGAAGACCGATCTGGTTCAACAACAAGAGCGTCAACAAGCGGCGAAAGCGGAGGGAAAGCGCGCCAAGGCGGCGAAAGCGTACCAACCCGATGGCACGCCAGATAGTTCCTACGACGATGAAAGCAAAGACGAACGTCGGAAGGCCAATGCAGAGCGACGTCGACGGAATCGGGAAGCGAAACCAAAGAACAAGAAAGTCGACTACGTGGCCGAGGCCAAGGCGGAACATGCGCGTCGATTGACAGCTGCTTTTGACTCACCTGTGTGGCAGCCAGCGGCACAGCAATGAACAACACAACCTGGGGACTCAGGATGGACTCCAGTGAGTGGTCCACATCAGGGTGGACCTTCACTGGTACTCAAGGACATCGAGTACCCCCCATCACGACTGTTGACCGTGACTCTCTGATGGCCTGGAAACGCAAACGTGACCGGTATGAAGAGAAGCTCAAGGCTAACGCCCAGAGAATGCGACATGATTGGCGCGCTACAGCTGTCCCCTGGCTGGAATCCGCTGATCGCAGCATGGTTGAAGCCGCTTGACTGTATCTGTGGGACATCAACATCGATGACCTGGATGAAAGCGAGTTCCGCGAGCGCATATGCAAGATCATTGGGGAACCGGCGAACAAGTGGACCGTCACAAAGGCCGAAATGGAGGAACAATGCAAGAAATTGCGTGTGGACCCCTTTGGCGACGTGGTAAGCCGCGTGGTGTCCTTTATGGAGCGAGTGAACAACATCATCGAGACGACCGGATGGAAATCACAGCTCAAGACCCCGAACATGCTCAAGACTTTCATCAAGGTGGTGGCATCATGCATCACCCCATTCGATATACGCGATCGAGTTGAAGAACAGATGAAGAGAGTCCAAGGCAGTACCCTGGTGGAATTCTCCAAGATCCTGGCGGAACAATTGGAAAGAACGTACCAGGCGGAGTTAATAATGAAATCACGGGGTGGCGACCGAAAGCGAGGGCGCGACTGGGATGAGAAGGGACAGCGAACGGGCAAGACCAGAGTCCAACTCAAGAACGAACAATACCAACGTGAAGCGTACTATCAGAATGGCAATGCCCCACGCCCTAAAAGCGGTTATACAAAGCCGGCCCCGGTGGAACGTGGCCGTGACGGACCTCCTCGTGCTCAGGGAGCGACAGGAGGGCCGTCGACGAACAAGTATGGTAGCCCGGCGACAGCCCGGCGCACGTTCGACGATAGTGAACAACCTACCAAGCGAGCTAAGTATGGCCCCGGCCAAGACGACCGTGGCGCGCTATGCTTTGTCTGCCAACAACCGGGACACCGTGCGCGTGAATGCCCAAACAAGAAGGAAGACTCAGCGCGAGCTGATCACCTTCGGAAGGGCAAGAATGCGGTGAAACGCATCAAGTATAAGCAACTCAAGGCGGAATTGAAGGCGAAGCGAGCGGTCAAAGCCAAGATAGCCGAAGATGGCTGTGAACAGCGATGGATTCGACTTAACGGAGTATTCGAAGTGCCCTACTGTCCCGATACTGGCGCCGACCAGAACGTTATGCCCAGCGGATGCTGGAAGAGTTGATGACGTTACAGTCTGACCTTATGGTGGTGACGCTCAAGGAGCCGATGATCGGGATGGCATGCAACAACCTGCCTTTTCAAGCGAATGCTTATGTGGAAGTAGCCTTGCAGCTGCAAACGGCAGCGGGCCCCGTGAAGATCCCTGGCAAGCGGCGATGCTATGTGGTGGCGGAAGGCGACGAGTTTCTAGCCTCCGATGACACCCTCAAGGCGATTGGCATCGACATCGATCGGCTGTTGGAACAGGTGGCGACTCTACAGCTAGAGGACGACGGAGATGACCTGCAGGAAGATGGTGACGCTCTGAAGGAGCAGTCCCATCGGTCCACCCTCCGTGTCAAGGCAAGGAAGACCAAGCTACCCGAAGTCAAGGACGAAGTGGAAGCGGCACTCCAAGACCTGATCAACGAGGCCATCGATAACCAATTTCCAATCGAAAATGTGCAAGGTTTGTGGCGTGTCCTTACAAAGCATGACATATGGCGGCTCAAGTTCGATGGGTCTGAACCCCCAGCAAGGGTGAAACCTTTGAAGGTGACTCCTAAGGATGGATGTGTTCCGTACCGATGTAAAGGTCGGAAGCACAACCTCCTTGAAGAGAGGTTCCTCAATCTGTTTGCTAAAGAATTTTGCGACGCGGGTGTTATCAAGCGCAACCAGCAAAGCGCATGGTGCAGCCCGGTGAACCCCGTCCTTAAGCCCGACGGCCGCAAGACACTAAAGACAGCAGACCAGTGGACAGACGACGACGTGCTGAAGAATTACCGTTTGACGAACGACTACCGGGTGGTCAACTCGATGACCAAGCCCAAGGCCGGTACCATGCCCGTTCCAAGCAACCATCCTCCAGAACCTGCGGGAGATGAAAGCTATGGGGGGTTTTGACCTGCCCAAATGCTTCTGGCAGTTCCCGCTGCACGAGGACAGTTGGGACATGTTGTCGTTCATGCTCAATGGCTGCGTGTATACCCCTGACAGGGTGATGCAGGGTCATGTGGACAGCGCGCTCTATGTGCAGTCCACGAACGAAGAGTGTTATCAAGAGATGCTGTTTAAGAACATGCTGATCTGGATTGATGACATCTTTGTATACACCGAGGACGTCGAGGCGTATGTGGTGGCTCTCGAGAATTTCTTCGATCGAGTGGCGCACTTTGGGTTTAAGCTGAGCCCGTCCAAAACCAAGCTGTACACACACGAGGTCAAGTGGTGCGGACGCATTATCAGCGACAAAGGCGTGAAACAGGACCCGGAACGGATCCAGCACTTGTGTGCCATCCCCTATCCTACGAACGCGGGCGACTTGCAACAATTTGTGTGTGCAGTCAACTGGTTGCGGGACTCCATGACCGAGTATGCACAGACGGTGGACCCACTCCAACAGTGCTTGACAAAGGCCCTCGAGGGTAAGGGCAAGAAGAAACGCATCGCGTCTGGTGTTCACTTGGAACTAACCGACGGCGAAAAGCAAGCGTTCGATCCAGTGAAGTCCAAGTTACGGGCGTCGGTTGAACTATCTCACCCTCGTGATGATGCAACGATGTGCCTGTTTACGGACGCCAGCGACTATGGATGGTCAATTGTGGTTACGCAAGTGGTGGCATTTAACGAAGCGATGGCGATCCAAGAACAACACCATGAGCTACTACTATGCCAGTCGGGAATGTTTGCGGGCGCGCAGAAGTCGTGGTCAGTAATCGAGAAAGAAGCGTACCCGATTGCACGAGCGTGCGAGAAGCTCAACTACCTGCTCATGCGACCTACTGGATTTCGCATGTACTGCGACCACAAGAACCTGATCCATGTGTTTGCCCCCGGTGAAGAGTGGAAAGCACACACCCGAGGGAAACTCATACGGTGGGCTGCCATTATTGGCGGCTACCGCTATGACATTATCCACATCGATGGTGTCCATAACCTATGGGTCGATGGGGCCAACGGACTCCACGTCTGGTGGCAAAACGAGTACTCGTCCGGCGCAGTCACAAGTGGACGAAGAAACGGCGCCCGGCAAAGTCCAAGACATCGACTCGACCACAACAGAAGCTGCGGCCTTTGGACGACGACTTTGTGTGGCCGAGTGTAGACGACATCCGCCAAACGCAAGAACAACATGCGAGTGACAGACCGCCCAGGACGACCAATGACGGTGAGCTATGGAACGTGGACGGTCGCCTATGGATACCAAGAGCGGCGGACGACCTCATCCAACGGATCATGGTGGTTGCCCACTGTGGCAGCATGGGACACCGTGGCCACGCGGCACTGGTGGCCTCGATCCGGCGCCTATTCTACCTCGACCACCTCGCCGATCGAGCGACGCAATTCCTCCGCGGATGCTTACTGTGCCCTCATGTGAAAGGGGGAAGGATGGTCCACAGACCGTATGCACACAGATGGCACGCAAAGGAACGCAACGAAGGAATTCACTTCGACTACCTATACATGGACGAAGCATACAGTGGCGCCAAGTATGTACTGGTGTTGAAGGACGACCTTATTACACACTACTGCGAGCTGATGGCCTGTGACGGCCCCACGAGTCAAGTGTGTGTGGATGCACTGGTGGACTGGACGAAGCGATTTGGGATGCCACGAGTCTGGGTCAGTGACCAAGGCACCCACTTCAAGAACGTGGCGATGAAGGCGTTTGCGCACAAGTTCAAGGTGCACCACGACCTCACACTGGCCTATTGTCCATGGCGGAACGGCACAGTGGAACGTATGAATTGCGATATTCTCCAAGTCATACGCGTGATGCTACGGGAATACCAGTTGGACGAGAAGGAATGGGACTACCTCCTACCGGTGGTGCAGTCCAATCTCAACCAGACCCCGGCAGTGTCATTGGCCAACAAGTCCCCCATGGAGCTTTTCACGGCATTCAACCCAGCGACCCCTTTGGACGTCGTTGTGGTGGGCGTGAACAAGGACCACTGTAAAGTCAAGTGGCAACAAAAGGACATCGAAAAGAACCTCGACGAACTACGAACAAGTCTGCATGCGATGCACAAAGAAGTGCTGAATCGCAATGAGTTACGGACGAACAAGGCGACGAAAGCCACAGAAGACTACGAAGTCTGCAACGTGACCGAAGGCGATTATGTGTTATGGTCAAGGGTGGACGAGCGCTATCATCCCAAGCTACTCGTCACCTGGGTTGGTCCATACCGCGTCCAGTCAGTGGGCGAATTCTCCGTGATGTTAGAACATCTGGTGACACATGAGGAACGCGAAGCGCATACATCACGCGTGAAGATGTATGCGGAAACGAGTTTTGAGGTCACCGAAGAAATCCTCGAACATGTCTCCGAACAAGGCATTGTACTGAAGGTCAAATCCATCGCGGGACACAAGTTTGTCCCGAATGTGAGCGACTTCATGTTGGAAGGGTTTTGGCAAGGCTTTGAGGACATCGAGTCATCATGGGAGCAGCTCAAGAAGTTAATGCGCGAATACCCAGCCGTGGTCAAAATGTATGTGGCGACCAAGAAGGACGCCGAAGACTATGAGATATTGATGAAGCGGGCAAAGACAGCGCAGTAGCGAAGCCGAAGGTCTGTGTGTCAGGGCGGCGACATGGCTTGGGCGGGGTGTTGTGGTTGGTGGGTGTCAGCCATGCCCCGCCATGACACGCAGGGACTCTCGATGAAGTCCCTTGGCGCCAATCTTGTGAACCGACGCGTTAGATACACTCTAGTATTACGAGTAGTAGTATTAGGAGCTAGTGGAAGTGTCGGTTGGGAATGGTCACCATGATTAGCCAATCAGTGGCCACCTGGGACCACCTACCACTTCTACAGAAGCTCACTCCTAGTTTTGCTCTGCAACGGACATAACAATCAAGTGCGTGGTTCACGGGAGGCGGCGTTCCCCATTTGGTTATTTGTGTAGGCGCAGTGCGGGAAACAACACACAACTTCAATGGAATCGGCCAACCAAGCGATAACTGCCATTCAAGGGCCACTCGCAGTCGCTATACTTTCAAGCCCTGCAACAGCCCGCGAATGGATCTCGGGGTCATCGATTCTGTTCTCGCTCGCGTCGATTCTGGATGACATTGCCAACAAGAAATCCACGACCGCCGATGAGTACGACTTGTACTTTGTGCCGATCGTTAACATTGACGGTTTCGAAATGACGTGGAACGGCACCCGGCTCCAGCGCAAGAGTGCCAACGAAGTCGACTTGAACCGCAACTGGCCGACTCCCTTCGGAACCCCAACCGTGACGATTGAAATCGGCGGCAGGGTTTTTACGGTGGACGTGTTGACCATCCCGATACGCGGCCTCCAAGTGTACAATGGCATCAAACAATACGCCAAGGCAGTTACCGTGTTCAATGGCCGAGACGTTACGCCCACCAAGCCGTCGTGTGGTGATTAGGAGCCAAGAGCTCGAGTTAACTGTAAAGTTTGAGTTAACTGTAAAGTGAAATCGTATTGTGTAAATGCAATACAGTGTTTGCCAGTAATAGTCGACGAAAGTAGCACTACCATCAATAGGGCTGTGTTTCAGGGTTTGTGGCGAAAAAGAGTGGTACTCTAAATCCTTCAGATCACCACTACTAGTACTACAGTGGTGGGATTTCTAATTATACAGTAGCACCAGCAGCGCATGTCAGTAGGGGTTAAGGATCTCAGTGGTTAGCGATAGCTAACCGCTTTAGCGATGTGACAGGTGGGTTAACGGCTTGCCACCACCTTGCCCGCACCCAGCTCCTAAGTACCTGGCTCATGACGAACCCTAGCTAATGCTTGCCTGGGAATGTGTCTCAAGGGCAAGTATGGCTTAGAAGCGCTAGTCTAGTGAAGTTCCCCAATGTCTCAACCGCACCCGCATCCATTGTATACAAAAGTGCATATTAGTGTAGAAGTAGTGAAGTAGACTAAGAAGATTTCATAGTGATGAGGATTAAGGAGATCTTTGTAGATCTTCAGTTAATTCATTGTGCATTTTGCCCTCAACTACACACGCTTCCTCCCGCAGTGCTACATTTGGTAGCACTTCCTC